CAAAGGGATATTTACATAGTTTTGTATTTCTATATTATATAACAATAATATACATGGTGTATAGTTATATATATATTTACAGTATACTAAATGATATGTATATATTTATGTTATATTACTTTGGTATACAGGATATATATTATTTTATATTTCTGTAACATAACGATTATAGAAAAAAAGCAATATATATTTTAATAAAGCTATGTACACGAGGTGACATGCACAATTGTCGATTGTCAATCAAACGACTAATTAGCGAGGATGTTCATTGGCAATTATCAGATGATTACCGAAGCAAACAGTTACATATTTGGAAAGTTCATTTGCTTTGGAAATAACATTCGCGAGACGTAGTCATCCTACATAATCTAATTTATAAGCGGGTGGGCTAATTCACCGATGAAATATTGTTTAACGTTAATTGATTGTTAACTATTTCAACCATTTATAAATAAATAACTGATGAAAAAATCATGTTATCACCTTCTTAAATGAGATAATGATTGAATTAATTATAAAGTGCGATCACTTAAATTTCTCCATTTAGAAATGTTTTTTATGGATATCTCCAATATTTGAAAGCAAAACCAAAATAAACGATAATCAACTACCTCTCTATCTACTACTAAATTTTAAAGGTACAATCGCCTGTGTGTGTGCTATATGCTCACCTTTCAATAAACAAGATGGTTGACTCTGCTGGTGGATTTTATAGTTTCCGAGGTTTACTGTAACCTTGATAGCCACAGTTATCTCGTTTGAGTAGTGACATGGTTCATAATATACACACTTTACAAATAATTTAATTCCTCCAGTACTCCTATGAATGAATAAATTCTTTAATTTAGAGGTTTTACGCACCTGCCCTTCTGTTTCAACAGCCGTTAAGCCTATTTGGATTTCGAACTTTTACCCCTATCATTATCAATGAGTCCTAAAAGAACGAAATAGCTGTATGAACGTATCTATTTTAAACAATTTTAATGTGCAGTAATCTCTATACAATAGAAAGGCATTATGAATCTTCCTGAAAAGGAACCAGGTGTTCCGGAAGGTCTAGCTCCTCTTGTACTGCAATATGCACCCGTCATAATGTTTCCCGTCGCATAAAGGATAAAACTGCAGTATATCAGATAAAACCATAGTGATAGACACAGTGGAAGGTTATATTTGTAAATTGCAACCGTATTTTCCGGCAGAACCGTTTAATGTCGGTTTTGTAAATCATTGCCTGCTTTGACTCGAACGGTGTAAACTGGATACTGGGCTGTGTTTTGATTGGATAACATTACAGTTCTTACAAAATACGAATTTGAGTTTAGATACGAACAGTAGATGGTAGTCTCCCTACTGATTTTATTGTAATTCATTTGAAAATGGCGACGCTTCAAATGTTTACATCTCTCGTTATACATTAAAGCGGCGTATTGCATATTACTTCTTATGCATGAAGTTATTTTTATAAGAAATATCTTTACTGTAGTTGCCACAAGAATAACGATTTCACATATATACGTTGCACCCGGCATTTCATTCTATATTCGAAATGTCGTATTATATATGTATATCTACAAAATGTTATCGAAACTCATTTGAGTTATTTCATTAGATTTACAGTCTAAACTGATATTCGCTCACAAGATACAATTTGTGACATCTGCGAGAGATAAGAAACAGTTCGAACGACAAACACTTAAAACTCTTGTGTGATAAACTGTTTATCACTTATTTACAACTACATGAATCTTAGATATTTCTCTTTTCATTAACGGTCGACTATGAATAACATATCGTCTAGCCGACCTCTAGGCTTAATGATCATCGAGATTCCCGGTCTGTGACAAACCTAAACAGATAGAAGGCTTACGCGGAGGAAAGCCATGCCCTTTAAACTATGTAGAAACATATTTTCATCAACAGTAGATGTTTGCCGAGTTAACCAATGCTTATTTAACCAATCACACGTTATTGAGTTTTGGAAATGAAATTATTGTCCCTTGATCTGACTAATTTATAAAATGGTTATAATTCACGCACAGAAATAAACAGCAAATATAAGGAGCAGTTTTCAATTTTGGTTATCAGGTGATAACTCCAGTTGAGCACGTGTTAATTAATCAAAAATGGCTTCGACATCTATTCAATTTACACGTGCTCTACGCCATCACCAATAAATTTGTTCATGCTGAAGTGTATATTATACTATTTACATTTGCTCTGCATTGCCACTATATAACACTATCAATTAAAAAAGCCAGTTCTGTGTTATGAGACCATAACATTGGCGTAGTGATATCTCCACGGACCAACTTACTAACGGATAACTATTTCCCTCTGCACTAGCAAGCGGATAAGCAATAAATCTAAAAATGAATCAAAAATATTCACCATTTTAATTAAGAATATGATAAAATGTGAATTGAATAAATTGATTGCTTAAATTATGGAAATGGTATCGATAGTATTATTTCCACGAACTATATTTTTTTAGGGGAAAAGTAAGGAGACAACATTGCGTGAGCATTTCCAAGGGTTGTTCTACCTCTTGAACAAAATTCGAATTTAGACGTGAGCTGTGTTAACGTTCTTAGAACTGAAAATTGAAAAAAAAAAAAAAAAAAAAAAAAATAGAATTCTGTTCCGCGTTATAGTCCTATAACATTGAACAGAATGCAGCTTAATGCTGACATGGATACATGGCTATTTCAGACTTGCAACCACATATATGAACACTCTGTCGTGATCTTTCTTTAAATGTGTTCCATGTTTCAACACAGATTTACAAAATAATACTTATGGATTATGGATTATTGTTGAGGTGAATGTGTGGTCATATATATGAACCTGGGAAAGTGATATTGACCGCGACAAAGTCAAGGTCAATACCGAGTATAATTTTCCAGGTCCACATAGCCACACATTCATCGACAAACATGTACAAGTCATTTATTGTTAAATTAGATGTGAAATTATGCCGTTTTGTTAAACAATGTGAAAAAAAAGAAGAAAGTCGCCGAAAAGAAGTATATATAATGCAGTACTTCTTTGGAGGCCCCAGCAGGTGGACTCGAGATTTTATCCACGTGCGAAAGATAAGAAATATTTCGAACGACATTTATTCGTATTAACCACTTCATGTATCTTAGATATTTCTTTTTTCATTAACGGTCGACTATAAATAACATATCGTCTAGCCGACCTCTAGGCTTCATGATCATCGCGATTCCTGGTCTGTGACCAACGTAAACAGATAGAAGGCTTAAAAAAAGCTTGCGCGGAGGAATACCATGCACTTTAAAACCATGTAGAAACATATTTTCATCAACAGTAGATATTTGCCGAGTTAAACAATGCTTATTTAACCAATCACACGGTATTGAGTTTTGAAAATGAAATTATTGTCCCCTACGACCTCCTTTTCTCCCACCCTTCACAGGTGTGTCTCCCGTTTTAGCCGAGAAAGATCGGCTTGTCAACACCTAGGGGATGGTAGCCTCATGACAATTAGCACGTGTTCAATTGTGACATCATAAAAATGTGACATCGGTAATATTGTGACGTCATCAAAAGTGAATGACGATATGCATACCCCATATGTGTTTTTGTTTCAAAACATGGCAGACTAATGTTGGTAAAGTTGTGACTGAAATAATAGGATGAGAGAAAAATAATCATCCCCTACCTTGAGGGTGTAACAGAGAAATCTCCAACCCTCGGGGTTTTTTTTGGTTTTTTTTTTTTGGTCTAACCCTCGGCAGAGCCTTGGGTAAGACAATAAAAAAACATCACCCCTTGGGTTAGAGATTTCTCTTTCACATCCTCAAGGAAGGAAAAGATTCTATTAATCAACGCTTGGACTCGTCGTGGTAAATATGGGTACAATGTATCATTAACATGTACGTTATATAACCAGGTAGTTCACTCGGTTGGAGCAATGGTATTACAAATTGAAGTCCAGGGTTCGAATCCTGGTCTAGCCCCACTTATTTTTTACACTCAGAACACTGTTGTTGATTATATTTTGTTTATTTCAGCTTATCATTTGTCATAAAAGGTATGGTTTTCTTTTCAAATGATTTATCAAAGCTAGCGCTAGTTAATCATAGTCATGCCTGCCGGGTAAAACAGTATCAGATACTTTGTTACAGTCTGTGGTAGAGGTACGGGGAACTTTTAACAGATGAGGAGTTATTGTTGACGCCCTAGAAAACCAGGAAAGTTAGTTACGCTTATAACTAACATAAATGACTATGTTTGACCAACAGTCCTTCGTGTCAATCTTTGTTAAATGCCATGGAAAGGTCGCAATACACGAATATTATCTCCTGTAAAGGCAGAAGCAATGCTGTGAAAACATACAGTTACATATATATGGCGTTTTCCTTTAATATCACCAAAAGGCTGTCTGTATGGATCTCCGCAGCACGAGGAAGAAGTTTTTGGATAATTGTAATGGTTATAATTGTGAAAACAAAAAACAAAGGCTTACAATCACTTTTATACATTTAAGCAAGCAATGAGCAACTAATTGAATAAATAAAAGGGTGGTATTTACATGACGTCTTTGCAAGGATTCTAAAATGCAGACGTGAAGAGGTGAGTTTTGATGTCCTTCTTGAACTTGGCCAGGGTATTTGACTTTCTAAAAGCAAATGGTAAGCTATTCCACAACGTAGCCGAAACCCTCCCAAAGCATTTGTTTCCGTAGGTCACAGTACGAGATTGCATGAAAGTAATCACTGAATTACAGCTTGGTAGGATAATTTCACCTTTTCTGTCCCATTAGGTTTTTGGCGAGTCTAAAAAGCTGTCTATTATCCTTACCGCATTCTTGGATTCTTTCCGCAATAATCAATTTATCATATCAAATTGTCATTTACAGAAACAAGTGTCGAGAATTTTTGGCTTTATAAACAATACGGTTAGTGATAAACGATTATAAAAGCCGCGTCCGGCCGACATGTACATGCTTTTACCCCTATCCATATTTCAAAGGAAAGCGTTTCACAGAGTGACGTCCCTTGATTACAAATGGCCGCGCCCTTGGGAATGCAACCGGTGTGGTGATGTGCTCAACAACCATAGGAATATATGGTTAATACATCAGTAGCAGCTCAAATAAGCACTTAAATGACCATCATGGAAAGACTTTTAACGCGAAAAATATGCGCAGTATGGATGCCACGTGTCTTTTCTTGCAGTAGAAACGTGTCTAGATTCCATGATTGCGTAAGCTTTATTTTTTGTTTATTATTTATTTTGCACAATCGCCCTTTACAGTTGTACTTGAAATACCTCATGCGGGGAATTAGTGAATATCTGATTGATGACACTGGGGACTTCGGAACACTTGTGATTAGACAGGGTGTTTACTAGAAAAGTAGAAGGTGACTCCTCTTCAGCCCTAACCTGTTACGAAATAAAACGTTATCATATTAATAAATTGAATAAAAAGACAACACACACCAACACCACATTAGCTGGTTTGCTCATATTCCTGATTAGGTTTATAATGACAATCTCAACACAAATTGCAGAATGGATATATGTCATTCCGGGATACCAGATAACAGCCTGAGTAGTAATATAACTATGCAGAATTAGAATATACTACTCACCAATTAGCCCATGTTTCCCCTGGCCCCGACACCAGACTTAAGCTTGGACCTCGCCAGACAAAATATTCTAAGTAAAGCAATTTTAAGCGATAACAGAAGGGATGTTGTTAATATGGCTTTAATACACTTCTATACTAAATTTCAATTTTTATTGGAAAATTGACCGAGTTTATGATGAATTGATTTTTTTCTAAATTATATTACAGAGGCAACATATGTCCATATTATGAATGCGAGTCGTTTCGGTGACAAGTCGTTTCGTGAGTCCCAAAGTCGTTTTGAGACATGACACAAGATTTTTCGGGACTTAATCAAGTCGTTTTGGGACATATAAAATTTTCATTTATAAATTACATTTCACTCCCGTTTCATAAAAAGTCCTGTAAATACACAAGTATGGTTTTAGACTATGACCTGTGTCACAAACTACCCGTGCTTGGGATCATTAGTGTTACCAGATTGCTAGAGCTTGATGGGATACCTACCAACATTTACCCGATTGACAGTGTGTTAATTGTTACCTGGTGAAACTAATCTCATTATTAAATACAGATCTAGGGGAACTTATGAAATTCAACATTCAATTTCTTTCGTCATTGATAGGTTGATTTCTTGTTTGATATTGTTAAACATGTAATATGTTTTTAATTCACTATATCATTTAATTTTGCTAAATTGAAATTAAATTTCACGAAAGAAAAACGTGAAACACGTAGACTATATTATAGACATGTGAATCAATTTATCAAATCCAGGTATATGTTTTGAACTATATGTTTTTATGTTGTGTATTTATGTCAGTGAGAATATTATATATATTAATTCATGTTTTATTAAAATTATGTAATGGTAAATGTATAAATGTATGACGGGAGGAGGCTATGATAAGTTGTAATAACTTTTATCCAATCAATTGTTTAAACTTAAATAAAAAAATGAAAAATCCCGAAACGACTTTTGACAAGTCCCGAAATGACCCGGAAAAAGTGCCGAAACGACTTTCGTCTTGTTACCGAAACGACTTGTTAATTAAACGTCCCGACACCCATATTATGATACCCAAACTTCAACAGAGCCACAGATACTATTTTGATATAGACTTTCTTTTTTGGGCATGAAAGTTGCATCTGGAGCTGGACTATCATGATCACCAGATGCCTACCAGTCTATACGAAAACTGGTGAATTTTTAACAGGAAAGAGAATAGTATGCTTCCACCGGGGATCGAACCCACGATTCCTAGGTTCCTAGTCGGACATACCCTCTAGCTCGAAGCTAGATCTAAGCTTTAGGCGACCGCAATCCTATGTACCATTAACACCTGCCACACTACTCCCCCTTTTTAAAATGTGTTCGCAAGCGAACACCACAACCCAGGTTCTAACTCCCTGTCACCACAGGGAGGGCCACGGACACCATTTATAACAGGAAGGGGAATAGTGTGCTTTTAACCGGGATCGAACCCATCTCTGGGTTCCTATTCGGACGCTCTACCACTCGGCTAATGGAAAATTCCCTCTAGCTCAAAGTTAGAAGGCGAGTGCATGTACATATAATCCTATGTACCATTAAATTCTGCCACACTTCTCCCCCCTTCGCCATCGAACACCACAACCCAGGTTCTAACTCCCTGTCACCACAGGGAGGGAAACGGACACCATTTAAAACGGGAAAGTGAATAGTGTCCTTCCACCAGGGATAAAACCCACAATCCCTAGGTAATGTTCCTATAGTCGGAAGCTCTACCACAGAGCTAAAGGGAAATTCCCTCTAGCTCGAAGCTAGAAGACGACTGTAATCCTATATACAATTAAAATCTGCCACATATTGTTCATTGTACAGTACATATATTGGCATTGAAATTTCAATCTTAATAATGTTAACTAGCAGTATGTTCTGACTTTGTAGGTGAGGATTAAGCTGCCACAGCAAACCTCCTATCCACAGAATGCCGGCTTGCTCCATAGGAAACTACAGAAAATTTCTCCAACAATGTTAAGAGGTTTACAAGAAAAGCTGAGAAAGGAGGTAATGATCATCAATACAGTAAAAACAGAAATTTACATCCTTTGTTGAGTCTGTCCATATTTCAAAATAATGGTTTTATCATACGTTTTGTTATTTAATAAATTTTCCATACTCGCACGATGTAAAAAAAAAAATTCTTCTTTTTTTCGATTGGTTATTTAATTTTTTTCTTCAAATTTTAATATATTTTGTGCTATTAGCATTAATGTTTGTAATAATTTAAAAGGACAGTCCACAGTCCAGCTCTGAAAAGAAATACTAGGATTGAAATTTAATTGAAATGTGTATGGCTTTAAAATGATATACAAATGTAATACACCACAAATGTATTGTGAATGATGTTTTATGCATAAATAAATTACTCAAAATTGACTTTGTCAATGGTTAAAACACATTGCATGTTGTTGAGGTCTGATTGTCCAGCAGTATATAGCTGTACATATGACAGAAGGCTGGCAGTTATGTAATTGACCTACATTCCACTGTTTTGACCTATATGTCTTTTTTGAACATTATTGCCAAAAAATGTTGATCGCTTAACATGCATCATGTTTGGTTTTCAAAGACTGTTAATTACAAAATATATCTTGATATTTAGTTTTACATCATTAAACAAATAACAAGTACACCATTGTTTCAATATTGCAATCTCAAGTTCTCCAAATGAGCTTTTAGAAACACAATTGAAATCACATTGTAGTGAGGTGCTTTGTATTGATTGTGATTACATGTGGTTGATATTTCTCCACAGAAAACAATGTCCTGGAAAGGTTTTGCTGTGTTGACAATTTTCTGCAGTTGTTTGTATGCCGCATATGAATATGTTGACAAGGAACGATTAAAAGGTCAGTACAAAGATTGTATTTTAGCAGGTATATTAAGCCATATATATGATTGGAGATACGCCAGCCATCCCTATTTTGACTGTCTATTAAACCTGAACTGGAAAAAATAGTGAATAGCTATGGATCACATGATAGTTTTTAAAATTCTCACTATGTACTGATGGTATAAAGGGATCAAAACATGACTTTTAAATCAGAAATAATGATCACAGATGAAGAAATCTATTTTGCAAATCTTAACTATTGCTGTCATCATGGTAGCCATCTTGAAAATGTTGCAGGTGTTACCATAGGGTAGCCATCAGGTAGATCTTGTAGATGTAACATTGGTAGCCATTTGAAAATCTATGAGGTGTATCATTGAATTTTGTTTTTAACCTGCTGTTTTTCTTGCTGCTTTGTAGAAAAAATGAGGGCAAAGTTTGGAAATGTTGGTAGTCCTGTTATTGGTGGTTCTTGGACTTTAACTGACCACAACGGGCATGTAAGAACAGACAAAGACTTCCTAGGTAAATGGCTGTTAATCTATTTCGGCTTCACCCACTGTCCAGATATATGCCCTGATGAACTAGAGAAGTTGGCCAAGGTGGTGGAACATTTCAGTGAGTATTAATATATTAACCTTTTCACCCCTAGGTAACTTTAGTAGACTCTACCATGCATAAATGGGGATGAGTTCATTATGGACTGGTCTACGGTGGTGAAAGGGTTAACCCAGGCACATATATAGCTTGACTGAAAATGATGTGCACATTCAGTTGATCATGCCTTAGGACATCATCTTCCATCGTGACATGATCATAATTCATGGCAATGTTTTCCTCATAGGCAACAGAGATAATGTATTTCCAAGGGAAGAAGCTTTCCTTGTTGGGAAATAAGACAGGTTGGTGTAAAGGATCTGCCCTCCCTTCCCTGGAAAAAAATGTGCTTGTTCATAAAACTTATCGATTGTAAATTTACTGGTTTGTAATGGGCTCATAACTTTTTCTCTAAACGAAAAAAAGATGGAAGTTGCTATGTATACCAATGTCAAGGATAATGTCAATAATGACATTTGCAGAAATAATTTATCGAAAATGTTGTTGATTTTTTCTGAAAAGTAAGCAGAGGTGTTAGTTAAAATATAATGGTAAGTACATCGCTGATAAATACTGCATACCGTAAAATTTTCGCACAGTTAAACTTTTGCCTTTTGCCAAAATATTAACACATTGCATGCAGACCTCCTGAGCTCTTCCATCTCTGCCAATAACGATGACTTAGTTAAGTTAAAAAATATTTCTTTATATAATCACGGACTTAGATAACAAATTAATTCCGTGATATAATCAAGTCAAAAAGCACTACCAATAGTTAAACTCATTGCTCTGTTATTACTTAATTAGTCATTTTGAAAAGAAATATTTTTTAACAAAATTTTGTAATTTTCTCATCATGGTGTGAAGTGCCTTTTCTATAAGCTTGTTATATGTGATGTGTGTCTAATTCTGTTTGTTTTACATCTACCATTTCAACATTTCCATATATAGCTTACCAGACAGTTTACAAAATTATTAAAATGACGACTTGACCCCTTGAAGGATCCCTATCCCACTGCACTGCCATTCTTTAATTTCTATAAATAATAACTCTCCTTAGTTTCGGTTTGGATATACATGTAACTGTAGCACATTTGGGCTTGTACATTCCCGTTATCCAGGTAGCTCATTCAGTTTCAGGGATGGTATAACAATCTGAAGTCCAGGGTTCGAATCCCAATTTGGTACCTGCAGAATGCTACACTCAGAACATATATTTTGTTTATTTCATCTCCATTATTTATGTTTTCATAGAAGTTCTTCAAGGTATACTTTTCTTTTCAAAAATGATTTATCAAATTTGAAAGCTGTTGTCATGTCAGGAAAAAAAAAGTTTCCAATGTGTAGTTGCATTTTTTAGCAGTGGTACGGGGATCCTTAAAATATCAATATGTCAACAGGAAAAATGACAAGATATTACATTCTCCTTTTCATTTGTTTTGTTTCTTTCTGTTTTTTTGAAGATAGCAAAACTGATATATAGCCTCGAAATCAAGCCAGGACTGATAGTCCCAAAATCAAGCCATTATTTGTGACAATAGACCCAGAAAGAGACTTAATTTGTTTTACTTTATTTTTGAAGATAGCAAGACTGATGGTCCCAAAATCAAGCCTATATTTGTGACAATAGACCCAGAAAGAGACACACAAGAAGTCATGAAGAAATACTGTCTAGGTGGGTTATAAGAATTTGAATTCTGTTGAAGATGAGACTAAGACATTTGTATTAAAAAAGTGAGTATTAGAGCTCCCATTATTTAGCATGTACAGAAACCAGCTGACTATACAGCTGAGATAATTACCAGTAAGTTCAAAGTTGTGCATATAATTTAATGTCAAGTGATATTTTTGCACATAAGCACAATATTCACCTCTGCTAAATGAAAACAATTTTCAAATGTCATATATCTTATCAGACCTGATGAGTGATATATCGAAAGTGGCCAGTGAATTCAGACCAGCACTGTATAGCATTATTCTAACTAAGTAAGGAAAAGAATCTGGACTCCAGAACTGAAAGGGTTCAACCTCAGAGGCGACTTAGGGTAATGGGACCTAAATGTGTCGCTGCACAAAACCTTGAAAAAATTATCTCTTCTGAAAATTTGTTAGTTGTGGATTTTTACCACCATTTAACAATATGATCCTAAGGTGATGGTCAGAATTATACTGAAGAAGGTGAGACCTCAAAGAAGGGTGGTAGAGGAGATGGTATTGTTTTTGGGACTCAGATACTTGAGTCCTGGGCCCATATGCATGAAACCGTTCTTGTGCTCAAACTCTGAATCTTCTTGCTCCAGTGATCAATTAATAAAAATCAACTTTTACTCAATAATTTGAAAGAATGTTGGTGAAACTAAAAGCTGAAAACCGATTTCAACATTTACACTTAACCTTTTGGCCATGTCAGATCATTTAATAATAACAATGATTAATTCAAGGTTCCTATATATATACGCTTTATCACCACCTAGTTCATAGGTCGTCTCAAAGCGGCTCAAAAATTATTATCCGCGGTTATAGGGCCTTTGCAACCAGCCAAATCTTTCTCAACTCCCTGGAGAGCATACAGCCGGTGCTGCCCTTTCGGCACTCACAGCTAGCATTCTACAATTCTAGCACTGCCCAACCACATACTCATTTACAGCTGAGTACACCGGAACAAGCGGAATAAAGTATCTTACCAAAGATACAACACAGAGCCATGTCGTGACTCGAACCCACAATCCTTTGGTCATGAGCCGGCATCCTATCATGCCACTAGACTACCTGCCTCCTATTAAGTGAGTTACAAGAATTGGGCTTAAGCACAGAATCCATGCTTGAGCATGAAAATGGTTTCTTCGAAGTTCAATATAAGCCCTGGACTCATGCTTCCCCTGTTGGACTCACCAACCTTTTGACAACCTACTATGTCTAATAGCACTTATTAAAATTCTGAAAAAGATGTCCATGACTTGCCAGAAAAATTTCTAGAGAAATCACCAGGGGTGGGGTTGGAATGGAAGGGGTCTCAGAAGGGTCAATCAGTGCAAAACTTCCAGTGTCATTTCCTGTGTAAGTTAAACTGGCAGACATTCTTTGTTCTCTAGGCCCCATAATCATATGGAGTAAGATCTACTCAATAATAAAAGTAACATTCAAGTAGCCATTATGGCCCATGGGCCTCTTGTTTTTGTATATTTTGAATTACATTGAACAAACATCATTGTACATACTTCATTGATGGTGGTGAAATATTTTAAGAAAACAAGAGGCCCAGAGGTAAAGATATAGAACTCTATAGGTACGTACTGTATGTACATGTACATATGAAATTTAAGAAAGATCAATACAGTATTTCTGAAGATATAGCAAAAACAAACTTCAAATGTCAAAATCCAAGATGGTGGCCATCTTGTTTCATTGAATACACCCTAATAGTAACAGGCACTACTAGACAACTTGATGGAGACAAAATTGGGATAAAATCCCTAAACCCTATGGTAGAAGAAGGATTTCTAAGCATTTACCTCTATTTCCCCTATTGGACCCCTCTCCTTTGCCCCTAGCGGGGCCACACTCACCGTTTATACAAAATTGAGTCCATTTGTCCCAAGGATGCTTCAGACTAAATTAGGATAAAATCCCTTAATCACTACGCTAAAAGAAGGATTTTCAAGATATTACCTCTATTTCCCCTCTTGGGCCCTCTCCTTGGTCCCTAGGGGGAGTGGGGGCACACCCACCGTTTATTCAAACTTGAGTCCCCTTGGCACAAGGATGATCCAGACCAAATTTAGTTAAAATCCTCTAAGCTGTGCAGGACAAGTAGTGTTTTAAAGGAAAAGTTGAAGGAAAGACGACAGACGGACCACGGACGCTGCTCCATGGCTTAAGCTCACTTGCCATTCGGGCAGGTGAGTTAAAGACTGTATTCATGCTTTGAAAACATATATTTTTCGTATTCAAAATATATGCCAAGTTAATTTTTTTTGTTATGTTTTTAAATTTTCACAAATTTGAACATGCATGCGCTTAATTTGTGCAGAGACTTATAAAACAAGAGGTTGGCAACTCATGCAGATCTCGCAAGAGCATGCATGACAGCATTGTTATCGAAGATCTGTCGCTTAACTTTCGCAGCCGCTGTGCATATAGCCAGAATCAGCGTTTTAGTTGTTAGATTAATACCAAGTTTTAATTTGTATTGCCTAAAGTATTGTGACAATTTTTACGTTTGAATTGCAAGGAATACTACCAACTTTGATCAAATTCTAATATAAATCCTTCAGAATACTGAAATATATATACGTATATAAAGCAATACATGGATAAACACGTACTTCATGGATACATGCATATATATGTAAGTACTTATGATGTAGTATATACATCTCTGAACTGTAACAGTTACCAAAAGTCATCACTTAGGATCTTAACATATAGCTGGTGTACGTATCATCACACTTGAATCAAATTTAACAACATCAGTTTGTTATATAGAAATAATAATAGTATGATAATTACAAATTTTGAAAATGAATATATAATTATAAAAATATGAAAAACGTTCTTCATTGCAGAATTTTCCTCTGAATTTTTGGCATTGACGGGAACTAAAGAACAGCTGGACGATATATATAAAAAATTCCACGTCTTCTTCTATTATGGAGACAAGGATGAAACAGGAGACTATCTGGTACTGCTTTAATCCATAATAAAATTCAGGATAACCAAACATTTTTAATAAAGAAAAAAAATGTAACTCATTCACCCCTGACGTTTCAAAATGAACTATTCCAAGCTATGAATTGGTAGAGTTCAAATGTGTCTTCAGGGGTGAATGAGTTAAGGATTCCTGTAACACTGCAAAAATCAGTCGCTAAATGTTATGAACTAGGTTTTTTTTCTACATCACAATGAATTTTATTGCTAATGACTGAAAATAAATCCATACCTTACAGAACTTGCATGAAAAGAAAGAAAGATAAAAAAAATCTCGAAAATAATTTGACGTGATTAAAAAATGCAAGGGGGGCAAGTCGTATTCGAACCCTGGACCTCAGCTTTCACAAGATTGCTGCTCCCTACCAAAACGGCTAGGGAGAATTTCTCTTTAGCTCATTTGGTAGAGCATCAGGCCGGTTTAACCCACTAGTGGAGGCATTAAGAAAATATAAATTTCTCCTACATATACATATGTACATGATTCTTTTGCTTGATAGTAAAATTTAATGATATTTTTGTACAGGTGGATCACACCCTTCTCACTTTCCTGATGACACCCAAGGGAGTATACGTGGACCACTTCTCCAACAGAGTATCGTTGGACAGCATGATTGAAAACATCTCACTGAGAATGGAAAAGGATAATCCTAAAAAATCTTGATGGGTATGTGTGGAGTTCTTCTTTGAGAGATCAGCATCACCAAAAAGTCACGATGAAAAAGTTTCTCCAAGACTGATCCCATAGGAAAAAGATGGTACATGAAAATAGCCTCAGAATTGATCTTAGGATGTGGATATTACTCAAAGGCAAGCCATGGATGAAATTTTCATGAGTAGCTATAGTTCTTTGGCATCCGCAAGCTCTTTCTCTAAAATGAAATATACTGATACGAAAATTATCATACCCATGTATACTGTAAAAGCATACATTGATATACAGTATATGCAGTGTGTAGCATTTTTCACGACAAGTATTTAAGCGCGAACAATATTCACTTTTTTTTTCATTTCTACTTTATCAATATCATATATGTCCATCGACATGGGAGTAGGTAAAGCTATTTGCCTCGATATTATTCCTTTGAAAATAAATGAAGCAGTATGTTGTGTAAGAACATTAAATATTCTTGAAAAATAGTTACAGATTTTCACTTGCATACAGACCAAGTATGCTGTCTCAGGTCAGTGGACTAGTGATTTTTTTGACCTGACTGGTACAAAGCAAAGATCAGCATCAATTAACACATGACATCATAGTTATTTTCTCAAATTTGTATACGCTTAACTACATGATTTGTCTGTCAATTATTTTAAGAATTTGTCCAGCGAAAACTTTCCCATTGTGTGATGTCTGTTGATAAACATATATTTAAAGTAAGTGGATAATAAAAGTGTAAAAAAAGCATTGTCCTGAAGTTTCACTCATACATTGCATTCTATATCTGCCTTTGAAGTGTTGATTTATACATTGTTATGATTTATACATTGTTATGATTTATACATTGTTTTATACATTGTTATGCCAAAAACTGTAGCATGGAATGTTCAGGGAAAGTGTTTTTCCTGCCCACAGCTCCCAACAACTCTAGTGGAGTATAAAATGGTCTCGAGTGGGTGCTGCAGGGTCTGTGGTGTAACATTCAAGTGAGGTGGCACTATGAAAAAATGCCACTGAAAGTATAGTCCCAACAGAAAAAATAACAGAATAGATCTCCTGCATACATTCAAGCATACATGTACATTCATGTAGAGGTTATGGCAAGCTAGGACTAGTAATTAACCCCAGATAACAGTTCCTGCATATTCCTTAAAAAAATGTATTGATTGATATATTGTATGAATTGTATGTATATCTTTGTATTGTAAAGCACCCAAAAGAAGCTTATTAGTCCCCCACCGGTAAATCTCCTACACTACTAGTCACTGGAACTTCATACTTAGGGTATGGGTTCAGCTTGGTGAAGCGGTGTGTCGTGTATCAAAAGTAGGTCACTCTGAGCTACATTTAGACCTTTGACCTACATCAAAGAAAAAGTTTGTCCGGGCTCTATCTCCTACACTACTAGTCACTGGAACTTCATACTTAGGGTATGGGTTCACCTTGGTGAGGCGGTGTGTCGTATATAGGTCACTCTGATTTTGACCTTTGACCTGAATCAAAGAAAAAGTTTGTCCAGGCTCTATCTCCTACACTACTAGTAACAGTTTTGAAAATAAATCACAATTTCCTGAGGAGGAAGAATCCATTACAAGATCTGCTACTTCTCTACCAAGTGACTTTCAAAACGTTGCACTGTTATACTACCAGCTATTAAAGACTGACTTCAAAACTACTGTGATGGAGCCTGTGCACACAATGGAACCAACCAGATTCTTTGTTCTATGTGTTGTGAGATGTGTCTTTTCCCTGTGTGTTGACTGTGAGTTACTTGAGATTTTTGTTTACTTTACTGGATTTTCAGTTTCCATACTTTATGATTCTGATACATTTGTATGCATATTTAAGGTGTAATATTTACTTCTGAATACAATTTACCCGATTCTGGTATCACTCATTCAGAGATACTATGACCAATTCTAACTTTGAATCGGTGAAATAACCAATTTAAATAAGTTATATCACCAATTCAAATCAGGACTGTTGACTTGGCACCTAGGAATGGGTGATACCATTGATTCAAATTAGTGACATTGCCTCTTTGAATCTGTGATATCACTTATTCGTTTGAACTTCTGAATTCTGATATCACTTACTAAAATTAGTGCAATTTAATAGTAAAACGGTACCACTAACCAGTGAATATCCACCAGATTTATTTGCAATAGTAGCACTGACACTATTCTTTATTGAATACGGTGGGTCTAGCTGTCAAACATTCATATATAGAATTAGTTACTGCACAAATTTATCATCTGTGCATTTCACATTCGGTGGGGGACAATAATTTGCCGATTTGTCTTGTTCTAGATAGTAAGGGTGCTATGTCAAATGTTGTGTGGTGTTACCCTTTATGTACATGTATGTATGTCGTACAGGTAAAGTGTATGGGTTTACGTTAGTTGTGGATTAATAGCTGCAGCTAAGGGTCGTTTTACTTCGCACGCATATGTACTTTGATCAGTTCAGCAAGATTTGCAGCATTTTGTGACCTTCACCTTTAACCTTGACCTCTGTGAGCTTGGTTACTTCTATTGCATTTAGGTCAAATATGTTCCAAGAACTGCAGTTAGGATCACACATCTTCATATGCATACAGTAGTGATTACAGCATACTGTATGTTTTTGAAAATTTGCCTGCGAATAACCTGAAATTTGTTGACCACATCAATCTATTTACTACTAGTATGTGTACTCCTGAGCTTGAAATTTGGGAAATATTACATGTTTTCTCTTCTACAGCAGCGACTGTCCTCGGTCTTTACTTACAACACGACCAGCTGGGACAATTACTGCTTAGCTGTACGATAATGGGGAAGATTTCAATTTTTCCTATTGATAACATTCTTTTTAGCTCACCTGGTCCGAAGATATGCCAATTAAACCGAAGGGTCCGTCGTCCGCCCATCAACTTTTTCCCTTTAAAACGCTACTAGTCCTGAATGACCCAGTAGATTTTAACTAAATCTGGTTTGGAGCATCCTTAGGCAAAGAGAACTCAATTTTGTATGAACAGCGGGAGTGGCATCCCTGGGGGCAGACAGGCGGGGCTGTATAGGGGAAATAGAGGTAAAACCTTTAAAATCCTTCTTCATCTCAATTTTGTCTGGAGCATCCTTAGGCCAATGGGACTCAATTTTGTATAAACAGTGGGTGTGGCCCCCCTAGGGGCAGAGGAGCAAGGTTGAATCGGGAAAATAGAGGTAAACCTTTAAAATCCTTCTTCATCTCAATTTTGTCTGGAGCATCCTTAGGCCAAGGAGACTCAATTTTGTATAAGCAGTGGATGTAGCCCCCTGGGGGGAAGAGGGGTGGGGTCCAAAAGGGGAGATAGAGGTAAAAACCTTTGAAATCCTTCTTCTTCCATAGGGATTAAAGGATTTTATCCTAATTTTGGCTGGAACATCCTTGGGCCAAGGGGACTCAGTTTGGTATAAACGGTGGGTTTGAACCCCCTAGGGGCAGAAGGGCTGGGCCCAATAGGGGAAATTGATGTAAAACCTTTAAAATTCTTCTACTTACGTAGGGTTTATGCAATTTAATCCTAATTTGGTCTGGAACATCCTTGGGTCAAGGGGACTCATTTTTTTATAAAGGGTAGGTGTGGCCCTCCTGGGGACAGAGGAATGGGACCCAATAGGAGAAATAGAGGTAAAAAAACTTTGAAACCCATCTTCTACAATAGGGATTAGGGATATCACACCAATTTTGTTTGGACCCCCTGGTGGCAGGGTAAAGGGACCCAATATGGGAAATAGAGGTAAAACCCCTTAAAATCCTTCTTCTGCAATAGGAATTAAGGTAATAGGATTGTGTCACCATTTCTCAGTAGAATTTCTTAAAATTTTGATATTACATTGCTCTGAAATTAAGAAAATGTTCTGCCACAAAAATAATATATCATAATTTCAAGGAATTTAAATGGAAATTTATGTAAAAAGGAGTTACTTTTAAAGAAAAAAATGAAAGACACAATTGTTTGCGAAATAATGTCAATAAAAATGATACTGCCATAGATTAGTACACTGTATTGCATTAATGTAATCAATTAATGCATCAATTTAATAAATGCTGAAATTATGTCAAATAAATTATCTATAAACAATTAAAAATTGACATTTTATAATAAATCCATATGCACATAGTAATTGCAGGTAAGAGTTATCTTTCTTGAAAAACTTCACAGTAGTGAAATAGGTAGCCGGTTTCCTGAAGTACAGAAAAATGGATACATGTGGCTCATTGATAACAAAAACTGAATTAATGCTTGCATTGCTTTGAAATACTTTAATATTGAAAGAAAACACTGTTCTGTCAATAATAAACATATAAATTCATTAGTTTAATATTAAGCATTAGAATATGCGGAAATTGTGATACTGTCTCCATACATTGGATTTTCAACTAGGGATGTACTTCCTACGTGTACTTCCATTTATCAATACACTCCTATGACCTTAAGGGATTTTATCCAAATTTAACCTGGGGCACCCTTAGGCAAAGGGGACTAAATTTTGTATAAACGAAGGGTGAGGACACTGGGTGCGGAGAGTTGCGGGGCCCAATAGGGAAATTTGGGGTTTAAATCTTTAGAATCTTTCTTCTTTTATACCATTGGAGGGATTTTATGTTGTAGGATTATTCCGTATGCCGTGGCGCGTCGTCCGTCCAGCGTCAAATTTTTCATTTAAATGACTTCTTCTCAATAACCAAAAGGCCAAATGTCATGATATTTGGCTGGTTGGTTGCTGGGATGAAGCCCGACAAAGTTTGCAAAAACAAATGACCTTGACCCATATTCAAGATCACAGGGGTCAAGTTTGTTAAAACCTTTACACAACTTCTTCTGATTAACCAAAAAGCCCAGAAGCATGATATTTGGCTAATAAGTTTCTAGGATGAAACCCTACAATGTTTGCGAAAAGAAATGACCTGGACACATATTCAAGGTCACAGGGGTCAAATTTGTTAAAATCTTTAAACGACATCTTCTAATTAACCAAGAGGCCAAGGAGCGTGATATTTGGTTGATATGTTTCTAGTATAAAGCCTGACAAAGTTTGAGAAAAGAAATGACCTTGACCAATATTTAAGGTCATAGGGATCAAATTTGTAAAAACCTTTAAACAACTTCTTCTGCATGACCAAGCGGCCTAGGATAATGATATTTGGCCAATAGCATGCTAAGATGAAGGGCTACCAAGTTTGTTCAAACAAATTGCTGTCGCCCATTTTCATCGTCACTGAGGTCAAATATGTTTAAAACGTTTAAACAACTTCTAAATAACCATGATGTGTATGATGATGGTATTTGGCCAGTAGAATGCTAAGGTAGAGGGCAACAAAGTTTGTTCTAATGAATGACCTTGACATATATTCATGGTCGCAGGGGTCAAATATGTTTAAAACCATTGAACGACTTCTTCTGAATTACCAAGAGGCCTAGGATTATGATATTTTGCAAGTTAGATGCTGGGATGAAGGGCTACCAAGTTTGTGCAAATGAATGACCTTCACTCATATTCAAGGTCACAGGGAGCAAATATGTTTAAATCTTTAAATGACTTGTTCCGATTATTCAAAAGGTACAGGGTAATGATATTTGGCCAAAAGCATGCTGGGAAGGAAGGCTATACACTTTGTTCAAATTAATGTCCTTGTTTGACTTTCAAGGTCACAGACGCCATATGTTTAAATCATTTAATATATTCTAATGTATCCAACACAGATATTTAGGTCGAGCTGTATATTAGTCCACT